CCTGGAACTGTGCCTGATGCAGAGTATTTATATTTATAGAATGAATGATTGAATGTTAAAGAAATAACTTTATGATGAAATAATTTCCCCATATTATGAACATGGTGACAAAGAGTCAAGCTAGTAATGCCATTTTTCCCTATTCCTTGTGTGGAGTTAGGATTCAAACTCAGATCTGAAATCAGTGGCATTCACATTTTCATTTTAGTCCCATAGAAGCTTTGAGCTTTTTTTTTTTAATTAATTTAAAATTTTTCTTACATTCTTGTTCATTTTTGTACAGTATTTGAGTCCTCCCTTCTGGTGTAGTTTCCATAAATATCCCACTACCACATCACCTGTGAACCATCACCATGTTTCCTTGTGTTCATTTTGATCCCTTTTCTTCCCCCTCCCCTGCTATAAGCCTCAGATCTATAGCTGCCTACAAGTTTTGTCTTAAGCTTTGAACTTTTTTTTTTAAGTCAAACAACTTTTATTTATTTATTTAAGATTTATTTATTTATGCATATAAGAACTCGGGTACAGGCCAGAAGCGTGGGGGGTGAGAGGATTCACCAGAGAGAGGAAACAGAACTGGTGGGGAACAGAACTGGCGGATTGACTGAAATACACTGCTGAGGGGAGCAGCGGGCGAGCCAGGAGAGTCTGCTGCGCCATGTGGGTAGCTCCCTGGCCAGGGAGTGAACTCGTGCTGCAGTGAATGCGGATAGCTTCATGGATTGCATCTTAACCCCTTGTGCCACCAGGGAGGCCCAAGCTTTGAACTTTTGATGGAAATTTGGAAGTATTTTGTGGGCCCAGCAGAGGAAGTTAACAGGAAAATTCACAGTAGCTGACTCATGCCCCACCCAGACTCTGTAAACCCGTCCTCAGCTTTTTCATATCTTGGGGCTAACAGCTAGCATCTGCATATTGCCCCTTGACCTACAAATAACCCTCAGTCACTAGAGTGAACTGGAAATATCTGAGAGCTTTATGTTTCACTCCACTTAACTCACACTCCCTGATAGCTTATAGCCAAAGATAGACTGAGAGAGAGTGCCAACGTGCTGCTACTTTGCTTAGAGGCAGCACAAATTCTGAGGTGTATTCTTCGTTTTAGAGCTCTCCTGGGACAGGCTGAGTGTGGAACTAGTAAAATCACACCCTTGCTTGGCTTCTTCCATTCTCTGTTCTTCATGCCCCACTTCCTTACTGTTTTCTCCTGGAAGCCCTTTCTTTATAAGTCACTTGCATTCAGGGCCTGCTTCTGAAAGAACTCAACCTAAGACACTCGCTAACAGTTTAAATGATAAAAATGGCATGCACACTTGCTCACAGCTCAGGACACCTAGAAAGCCACATCAGATAGCACTATGGTGGTGTGTGGCAGCAAAAAAAAAAAAAAAAAGTATTTGTTTTTCTCTATGTGAAAAACAGTAGAAAGAGGAAGTGGTCCGTGGGGGAAGGGAAGCCTGCTCTGAAGCCTGCACTCTTCGGTTGAGCCTGTGTAACTCTAAAGATACATATGTATCTCCTCAGTTTCCAGAGACTTTTTAATCATCTGTGTCCTGGATGATCTAAGATGATGACTATCTTTGCATCTAATGAGAGGAGATACATGATATTATTTACTAGTTCTTTTTTCTATTACATGCCCTTGTAGCTCTCCGAAGTATCAGAATAGCTTTTAATGCATAAATTTTCAATCAAGTTAATAGGTATTTTATTTCTTTTAAGATAGCTAGGACTCAAATGTTCAAATTTTTCCTGAAAACCTAGAAGCTAAGGAGAAATAAGGCTAATTTTTGCCCTAAGATCTTGATGGCTACACATCACAGAAAAAAGAAATTATTGCAGACCATGAGGTTCACCTGAAGAGTTTACATTATAAGTAAAATGCAGTTAATCTAAAGATATTGGGGCAGTGGTTGTTGACAAAAACTAGAAAAAACAACATGTGGCATTTCTCTGTATTGTTTCCATTTGTTGTGTTTTCACTAGGGATTGTGAAATATAAAAATTTAAATTTAAAAAAAATTTTTAAATAAACCTCAAAATAACCATTTTTAAAAGATAGAACAGGGGCCCTCTCCGTGGTGCAAGGGGTCAAGTCTCAGCACTATGAAGCTATCCGCAGCCACTGCAGCAAGAGTTCAATCCCTGGCCAGGGAACTAACCCACATGGCACAGCAGACTTCTCCTGTCTTGCCCACTGCTCCCCTCAGCAGTGTATTTCAGTAGATCTCTAACAGGGTGGTCACCAGGAAAGGGTGAGGTTCCAGGTTTCCTGCCCCACCCAAAGGAGGGTGGAGCTGAGGAAGGAGGAGAAGCAGCTGCAGAAGAGAGGGAGGAAGGAAGGAAACAGGATGGAGAGCCAGGAGGAGACCTGGAGGAGGCACATGGAGCAGAGAGACATGTGAAGAAACTGTGCTTGCCTTTTGGTCCTGGACTGGTTGAAACAGATGTCAGAGACCGGTGGGGAGGTAACAATGGCAGCTTTTATATTACTTTTGATTTTGCTCTTTCCCTCCCAGACTTGTCTGGTTGTTTCTGACCATTTTCTCTGGGTCCCCACTGAAAGGTGCTTTAGATTTGTGGCAGGCTTTCCGGCCTTGCTCTGGGCCAATTCCGTTTGGGTAGACTTTCACCCACGAGGGGATTGGTAATTTTGGGTGCTTGAATTAGAAACTATTCTTTGCCTTTTCTGTATTGTTTACTAGTTGTATTAAAGTTCCTTCTCATTAAAGTCTTACACGTTTTGTGTTGACGTGGCAGTTGGCAGAACCTATTTAGAGCAGGCAGGTTTGTGGGGTCTGGTGTGCCTTTCCTTGCCCTGTAACAGAATTACCTGTTCTGCTCCCCATCCTGTCTCTGGTGAATCCTCTCACCTCCCGCACCTCTGGCCTACACCCCAGTTCTTGTATGCATAAATAAATAAAATAAATCTTAAAAAAAAGAGCAGATATGGAAAACTAACCACAGCTAAATTAACAGATACATGGTCATCTGCGTGGAGATAAGTTTATTCCTTCCTGCCTATACAAACTTCCTATTTTTAAGAAACAAGTTGTGAAAATTCTAGTCATTTAGATGTAAATAGAATAATAGTTTGAAAGTATGCCTTCATTTTTCTCCTGCCATCTCAGCCTCTGCCCCTTGGTAAACATTGTTAAGAGATTGTTGTGGGCCTCCCCAGTGGCACATCAGTTGAGCGCTGGGCTGTGGAGCTGCCCCGCAACCTCTGCAGCGCCGGTTCAGTCCCGGCCGCTGGCGAGGGTCCCACATGGCACACAGACCTCTCCTGCCTCACCCGCTGCTCCCCTCAGCAGTGTATTTCCTTAGTCTGCCTGTTCTGTGCCCCGCTCTCTGGTGAATTCTCTCACCCTCCCACGCTTCTGACTATACCCAGTGCTTGTATAAATAAATCAATCAATTTAAAAAAAAAAAAAAGATTGTTGTATGTATTCCTCAATCTTTTCCTGTGGGTGTGTCTGCTAAGAGGTTGGGAAAAAAACTAAAAAGATGAATATAATTTGTCTAAAAATATATAAAAATGGTATCAGACATAGCATCTCAGCTTGGAATGCCAGAGATGATGCTGGTGCTGTAAAGAGAGGACGAGCAGAATGACTGCCACAGCCGCTGGGATCTGAACATCAGTCTGAGGGATATTATGCACAAAACCACTAAGCTGCAGCCAGTCTCATTGCTTGAGGTTTCCTTGTAGATCCTTGAGTCAACAGAGCAGTCTAGATTAGAATTGCTAACTTTGAGCTCATGTTTCTGTAATCTTTGGACTCTTCTAGATGTTTTATCCCACCTCCTTTATTGTTATGAATTGCCTTAAGCCATGGCTCCTACTTTCACAGATTTTTCTCACTAGTTCTTGCTTTGGTCACTTAAGATACGGGGCCTTCTCAGCTATCCCTGTAATTCTTGTACCTGCATCAAATCATATGCTACCTTTCTCTGATTCCTTGGTCCTTTCTAAATTCTTCTCAAAGGTGATTATGATGTGTCGGTGTAGGTTTGTCAGTTGTAGCAAATATATCAAGCAGGTGGGAGATAGTGATAATGGGGGAGGTTATGCATATGTGGGAGAAGAGGGTGTATAGGAAATTCTTGATCCTTTCCCTTAAATTGCTAAACGTAAGCTCTTAGTGAAAGTAGTATCTGGCTCTATACTTAGAAATTTAGTTGGTCTGGATTGGAGCCTGAGAATCTGGTTTTCTTTTTTAATAGACTTTTAGAGTTGGTATTTTAAAGTAAGTTTCACAGCTATTCGAATGCACATCCAAACTAGAGTTACTAGTCTAAGTATGTCACCACTCAGTCTGCTGAGTTCCTACAAGTCTTCCCCCAGGTACCCTTGCTGTGCTATTTGGAGTTATCCATACCTGCCACACCACTATACCCATTTGCATCCCACCCTCTCCCCGGAAACCCCATTCACCAATCTGGAGAACCACAACCATTCAAATCTTCGCCAGGCACATAACTTTTTGTTACCTTCTGAACACATTTTATGGTCACCTCTTTTGAATGTACCTATACCATACTTACTATATGTATTTTTGTTTGAATCCATGTCTGCCCCACCACTACTCTGAAAACTTAGGAAGTGTTTTATTCATCTTTTTTGTTCTGTTTATCTTGTACTTTGTCAACTTTAATTCAAATTCACTGCCAAACAAATGCACAAAGCTGGTTATCATGTATAAACTCTGCCTTAAAATTTTAAAGTATGTTTTTTATTCAAAGTGCATTTATTGCTTGCTAAAATACTAAATCTCCACTTTTGTTCCTTCTTAAGAGTGCACATTCTTCATGTCTTAGCCTATGGAACAGAACTCTGGCTAAAAGATAAAAATATGGTCTCCCAGCAGACAGCTGTGTCACCCGAAGTCATTTAATTTCTCTGGGATTCTGTTCCTCATCTGTGTGCTAATCCCTACATACCAGTAACACTTCAAAGACCATTTCCCTGTTAAAAACAAGAGTATGACGGCGGAGTGATTATAGAAATGAAACACATCAAGTTTTACCACAACTTTAATTATCAAAACAATTTCAATTTTTGCCGCTGTTAAGTGGCAACCACAACAGCCCTGAGGTAAATATGAATTTGTGACAAAATGTTTCATCCATTATACCAAATTGCCAACAATTTTGACAATTATCTTTCAGAAAATTTTCCCAAAATTCTAAGTATGCAAATTGGAGGTTAACTCTAAGCATGCATGATTATCTTGTTTCATTGTATCTTATTGTCAGCAAAAGAATGAAGAGTTCAGATCTGACCAACATGTTACACTGAATAGAAGAATTTTTTCCTCCCTACCCCTAAGATGCTTATAAGCACAACCAAAGGGCCAAGGAAATCATAGGTGGTTTGCTGTTTTGTGGAGCATAAAGCACAAAAGCCTATCCATATAAGAAATAAGAGAATCTGAAATTAGGCCAATCCCAATGAGGCATCTTGAATCCTAAAAAAAAAAAAAAAAAAAAAAAAGTGGCTTATTAGCAAATAAATTTGGCTTATTTGGATTACATATCACACCATCAGATTTTTCTAACTTCTGCTATGTAAATCTCTGTTTGTGAAAGAAATAGCTGCAGACACTTTTCCAGACCATTACAAAGAGCATATCCCATTAGTTTATTCAGTTGGTTCTTCCACAGCCTGAGAGGAAAGAGTGCTGATATTAAAGTCTAGATCCTGGCTCCACCCTTAGTAACTGGATGACTGTGAGCATTCACCCAGCCTCTCTGATGGACTCTAAATTAATTTCCTTGTCTTAGAATGTGATTTAAAAAAAAAAAAAATGTGACAGAGATGTAACATGTTTTCAGTACCCACGTAAGGTACAATTTCATTGAAAAGCTGGCTTTTCTACCTTTTAAAATTTAATTAAAAATACTTTTTTTTTGAGATAATAGTTTACAATACTGGATATGATTTAGAAGTAGAGGTTCACACCTCCCTCTTAAGTTACATGTTACCACTCCATACCCACCACCAAAGTACCCATACTCCTCCACCACAGTCCACTGGGCCCACTTCCCCCTATACTCACATCTCCTACCCTCCTCTTCTGGCAGCCTCAAATTCTACAGTCAGATTTCTGGGGTTTGTTCCTTAGTTTTGTTTCTTTATATTACACATGAGTGAAAACACCTGTTATTTGTCTTGCTCCTTCTGATTTATTTTGCTTGCCACAATCTCCTCCAGTTCCATTCATAAGGCAGTGTTCATTTTTAAAGACCCAGAGATGCTCAGTGTAGAAATGGCACAAGATCAAACTCTCGCAGGTGGATAGAGGACTGCCTCTATCTAGTCCCACCGTAATGGCAGCTCCTCTGCACTTCCTTTAGAGAGTCAGTGATGCTGGCAGAGGCACACTTGGGGCCATACCTTCCCTCATGCCACTCAGTAAGACTCTCCTCTGCCTTCTGAAATGCTACTCCCGTTAATGTCCTCGATAGAATGAGTGTTCCATTAGAGCTATAAATAATCCCCAGAAGAGTAAAACAGGAAAAGCATTTTTTTTTTTTTAAGATTAGAAACTCACCTCCATCATTTGATTAGTTGGCAGGATCTATAAAAAAAAAAAAAATGGAGAAAGAAAAATAGTAAATTTTACTTTAAAAACACTATGTATTAGCAAATGTCTTAAACTGTTATAAACTAGGCTGGAATAGCGGGCTGGTCCTAAGTATGTTCCTTGTTTAGACCCGCTCCTTAGGCCCATCCCTATCTACTAGCCTCAGATCTCAATCCAGCCAGAGTACTGTAACTGCTTCCTGTCCTCATTACTGTTTCAGAGACAATGCTGTGCAAAGGTCTCTTAGAAATGCCAATAATCTGGGCTTTAATAACATTCCCTAACAATCCCACTATGCAGATTTTATCAAAGCAGCTTTATACTATGGCTGTATTCAAATATAATTGTCAGCCCTTAAGGAAAAACTTGAAAACTCACCCCACTTAACTACCATGGGCTCCTTGAGAGTTTCATGGCTCACGCGGCAAGTATATTCATCTTTTCCATCAGGAGTGAAGCTGGAGTGGACCAGAAGATAAAAAGACCAGTCCTTACTGAAAGACAAGTCTGATTGCTCTGAATCCATTTTCTCTCCATTCTTAAACAATTCGATGGTAATAGGAGCAGGATGGAATCCAGACACGTAGCAATTCAGGAAATTGGGCTTTCCAATCTCTAATGGGTTACGTGAGTACACTTGAACTTTTGGTTGACCTAAGGAACAGCAGGGAAAGACAAATGAAAATTGCCTGATTATTTCACTTGCAGTTACCTTGATCTAAATCTGTATCAGGAACCAAATACTTAAATTTGGTCATCTACTTTTCCCAATTCCATTTCTACTCTAACCAAATGAGCTTCTACTTTTTCAAAGGCTACCTCCATTTCAAAAAGTAAACCATGACTTAGTAGCTTTCTCGCATAATTCCCTTCTAATATATGCCTTTTTGTTTTTAGCAGGTTTCTAGTAGTTTCTTCTGTACTTAGAGATTGTGCATGTCTTTTTTTTTTTTAAGATTTATTTATTTATGCATACAACAGCTGGGGTACAGGCCAGAGATGCAGAGGTGTGCGAGAGGATTCACCAGAGACAGAGTGGGGAACAGAACAGGCAGACTGACTGAAATACACTGCTGAGGGGAGCAGCGGGCAAGTCAGGAGAGGTCTGCTGCAACATGTGGGTAGCTCCCTGGCCAGGGATTGAACTCGTGTACAGTGGCTGCGGATTGCTTCATAGGCTGCATCTTAACCCCTTGTGCCACCAGGGAGGCCCCCTATGCATGTCTTTAAGAATCTTTCTCTGGCAGTTCCCAAAACTTTTGATGGTTTCTCGGCACCCATAGAATTCCTTAACACCTCACTTAAGAGTCTACATGATTGGCCTTCATACTACTTTTCATACTTCGTTTTTCACTTCACATACCCTCTCACCTATCTAAATTCCCATTAGTATTAAGTGTCTAGTACAAAATCTGTGAGTTAATTGCTTTCTAAGTTAATGGCACTGGTTGTTGCTGATGTTTACTTCTTTATTCAGGTTCTGTAAGAAAGTCAACCCAGACTATGTCTTACAGAAATGCCACCTTTTTAACCTGCCAAATCAGAGTTTATACACTGAATCTCTGATTTTTGTACCTGAGTTCATGCACTAGAAAACAACAAAAAAATTTTAAATGGCTATAGAAGCTGGCAAATGAAGTGTTGCTGCCACCAAATAAACAGATTTACACTAATACATGTGTGTAATTCACTTCTAAGTAAACATATATTTAGAGGACCTGATTACCAGACATCAAATCCTCCTCCATGTAAGGGGGTAGCAAGGAGAAAAAAGTACCTGGCCACTCTGATTAGAGATAGCTGTCTAAACACCCTATCATTTAAGGAAAGGTCACCAGTCCCACCAAGAGTTGGGCCAGGGATCCCAATGAAGCCCTGATTATTTTTTCATTAAGTTAAAAGTGAAGATACATCAAAAAGTTCTTTGTATTTGAGATTCTTATAGTCAGAATTTCACAAATGCCTGAGTTTCAGAGCTCAGGTTTATCCTGCCTGGAATTTTCTCTTTGAAGGAATGAGGTAAGATTCTCCAAGAACATCACAATATCTCTTCTAAGAGGAGACAAGTAAGACAGGTCTGAGTTTGAATCTGGGCTCAACCACTCACCAACTTTGTGACTTTGGGATATAGTTAACTTGAGTTTCTGAAGTCTCACCGAAAAATTAAATTATGCCCACAAAAAAACAAAACCCACACATGGAAAACAGACATCCAGAGGCAAACACTATTACCCGTTTCTGTGAATCTTCCAGTGGTGCCTTTATGTGTGTCATGTATTACTAATTTGTAATTTTTCAATTTCCATTAAAAAAAAATGTCGGGGCCTCCCTGGTGGTGCAAGGGGTTAAGCACAGCACTATGAAGCTATCTGCAACCTCTGCAGCGCAAGTTCATCCCCAGCAGGCCTGGGAGCAACCCAAATGGCACAGCAGACCTCTCCTGCCTCTAAGGACAGACAGCCTTGGTAACCATTTTAAATATTTACTTTTTTTTTTTTTAAGATAGATTGATTGATTGATTTATACAAGCGCTGGGTACAGTCAGAAGCATGGGAGGGTGAGAGGATTCACCAGAGACAGAGTGGGGAACAGAACAGGCAGACCGACGAAATACACTGCTGAGGGGAGCAGCGGGCGTGGCAGGAGAGGTCTGCGCGCCAAGTGGGACCCTCGCCGGTGATCGAACCAGCGCAACAGAGGCTGTGGGCAGCTTCGCAGCCCAGCGCTCAACCGCTGCGCCACCAGGGGAGGCCCAGACTTGGTAACCATCTTGATGGCCCCGGGTCACTGGTTTTACAACTTCCCTTACCGAGAAACCTTTGCCTTTTCAAAACTGAAAGTAGAAGCTCAGTTCATGTTGGGGAGAAAAAAACAGGCTAGGAGCCAAGAGTCAAAAGTCGTGGGTGGGGATGGGGTGGGGGTGGGGGTGGGGTGGGGTGGGGTGGGGGGGCGGCTGCGGGCGGAGGCTACAGGAACCCATGGCGGCCCAGCTTGCTCCTGAGAATCACAGAGGAAGGTGAGATGATGATTCTGAAAAAGCGCATGAATGACAGTCAAAAGGCTCCCACCCCTGCAAAATGCCCTGGTCAGGCCCCATCGTCCACCATTGACCCCCAGTGTGATTTAGTTACTTAAACTCGTGGTGCCTCCGTGTCCTCATTCGTGAGATGTTCATAACGCCACGTTTTTTTGTTTTTTTGTTTTTTTTACATCGTAGGCGCATTTCAGAATTAAATGACAAAAGGCACATAACTTCCCCAACACAGGCGCTGTCGACAGCAGGTAGTTCTCGTGATTGTTACTAAAATCGACATACGATGGGAAGCATTCTACATACAGCGCGTGCAGATTCATCGCTCTATTTCGTCCCCTATTTGTGGGGTAGTGAGGAGGGGCGAGCGAGCCAGGGTGGGGGCCGCTGGAGGAATCCGCAGCCCCCCAGGCGCGAGGGAAGCAGAGTGGCCGCGCCCCGGCGTCTCCACCGAAGCCCAAACCTTCGCCTCTACCGCTCCAGACGCACCCCGCGCGCCCGGAGCAGGACCCCGGAGCGGGACCCCCGGAGCGGGATCCCCCGAAGCGCCCCCCAGCAGCGTCCAGGGAGTGAGCGCGCGCATGGAAGAGCGAAAGAGAAACCGTCCTCCACTTTGGTCGCTCTTACCAACACCCTCAAACTTTGTCCCGACTTACTCGTCTTGGGAATGCGAGCCGACTCCCCTGTCCCGGCTCCCGGAGAGGGGGGGACACTCAGCTCGCGTCCCGGGCGCACACCCGCCCCTCGCTCCCCGGCCACCCCACGGTCTCCCCACGCCGGGTCCCGGGGGAAGAAGGAAGTGGGGGGCTGGGGTCGGTTGTTACAAAGGCAGCGAATGCCAAACGTGCCAAAGCGAGCACGGGGACGGGTAAGGCAGGTCAGTGGAGACGAGGACACTTACGCTTGGCGGCTTCCAGGCTGCACACGGCCAGCAGAGCCAGCAGGACGAAGGTAGCGGCGCGCGCCATCCTGACCTCCCGAGGACTGAGGCTGCACTGAGCGCGCAGCCCCGCGCCCGCTCTTATAGCCCGAGCGCGCACGGCCAATGAGAACGCGGCCCGCAGAGGCCGTCACTAGTATCCGGGTGGCCAGGGCCGCGCCAGGTTAGCAAAAGGGACTTTCCCCATTTCAGTTTCGCTTTCCTATAGTCTCGTGATGCTTGCGACGGCTGGCGCGGGGTGGGTTCGCCCCTGGTGTATCTCCGCCCTCGGGTCTGTGGTCCCCACCCTGCCTTGGGCGGGCGCTGCCGCTCCTAGAACGGACGCGGCTTGGTCTCGCCCCCTGGACACACCCTGGTATGGTTTTGCGAACCAGCGCCAGGCATGGGGCAGGCCACTTGCTTGCCAGGCGCCGGAGTGCGTCGCCTAGGACCTGCAGTTGTCAGTCAAAAACGCAAGCCCAGAAATAGAGTGTTAAACCGAGAATGAATGTCAGGCAGTTTAAGAACTTCGCTTAATAATTTACCGGAATTAGAATTAGACTGGAGGGTTTCCAAGCTCTTTAGTCAGGGATAATTGTCCCAAAACCTCAAGCCCTCCAGGAGAAAGTTAAGGCATCGTCTAGACACGTGGATGATAAAAGGCATGTTAAAAAAAAAAAGCACAGGGCCTCCCCGGTGGCGCAGCGGTTGAACATTGGGTTGCGAAGCTGCCCGCGGCCTCTGCGGCGCCGGTTCGATCCCCGGCTGCTCCCCGGCTGCTCCCCGGCCACCGGAGGAGGGTCCCACATGGCGCGCAGACCTCTCCTGCCGCCCGCTGCTCCCCTCAGCAGTGTACTTCGGTCCTTCTGCCTGCTCTGCTCCCCGCTCTGGCTCTGGTGAATTCTCTCACCCTCCCGTGCTTCTGACTGTACCCAGTGCTTGTATAAATAAATAAAATAAATCTTAAAAAAAAAAAATGCATTAAAAAAAAAATTAAAAAAAAAAAAAAAAAAAAAAAAAAAAAAAAAGCACAACTCCTTGGGCAAACAGTTTGACAGGACTTTCTTGCTACTTGAATCCCTTCAGGGAAAAGTTTCCTTTTGGAAAGCTCAGTTCCAAGGAAGTTCTCCTTGTATCTTCCCGTTTTTATATTGCAACATTACAGTTATTTAGATAATTTCCTTTATTTATCTTTGTTGATCTATTGGGGGGGCAGTAACTGTTTAGAACTTCAGAGTTCAGAACTCTTAAGGTACATCATTCTCTTGAAATTACCGCACCAGAATGGTGCTTCATTCCTGGCAGGTATCTGGTAAATGTAATTGATTAGTCAATGAACAGCAGGTGAATAGTAAACAAACTCTAGGAATTATCCCACTACTTTTTAATGCATAGGGAAAATAGACTAAGAGTCTAGGACTCAGACTTTAGCCTGATTCCATTGGCATTCATACTTTAGACACTTAGAAAATAAAGGACTTGGCAATTTTAGTAAGAATTGGATTGTGTCTGCCCTGGGCCCAAAGACGTTGTACCTACTATGAGTCTATGATAATGATAGACTCTTTAAAAAAACATATACTACAGAAATGCCATTAAAAAGAAAACACAGAGACTGTGGGACAGAATTGAGAGCCCAGAAATAAGCCCACACTTACATGTACAGCTAATCCTACAACAAAGGAGCCAAGTGTACACATTGGAGAGAAAAGAAGTCCCTTCAACAAATGATGCTGAGAAAACTGAACAACCACATGCAAAAGAATGAAACTAGACCACCATCTCACACCATATACCAAAAAAATTAGCTAAAAATTAATTAACAACTTGGATGTAAGACCTAAAACTAATGGGGTAGTGTTCAGGAAAAAGGGAAGTTCCAGGTTCCCTGCCCCCAGGGAGCTGAGTAGGGAGGAGAAGAAGCTACAGAGCTGACTGAGAAGGGAGGAAGCAAAATGGAGAATCAGAATGAAACCTGGAGGAGGCACGTGGAGCAGAGAGACAAGTGAAGAAATTGCGCTTCCCTTTTGGTCCTGGACTGGTTGAAACAGATGTGGGTGAGAGACCTGTGGGGAGGGTCACAATGTCCGCTTTTATCCTGATTTTGATTTTGCTCTTTTCCTCCCAGACTTATCTCTGACCCTTTTCTATGGGTCAGAAGGTGCTATAGACTTGTGGCAGGCTTTTGGGCCCTGCTCTGGGCCAATCCCATTTGGGTAGACTTTTACCCATGAGGGGACGGGTAACTTTGGATGCTTGATTTAGAAACTATATTCCTTGTCTTTTCTGTATTGTTCACTAATTGTCTTAAAGTTACTTTCCATTAAAGATAATTGTGTTTTGTCTTGATGCCATGGATGGCAGAACCTATTTACAGTGGGCAGGTTTGGGGGTTTTGTGGTGTCCCTCTCCCTGCCCTGTAACAAAACCATAAAAAACATAGAAGAAAATACAGGGAAAAAACTCATTGACTTCAATGATGTCTTTGTGGAGTCATTTTCAGTAGCATGAAAAACAAAAGAGACTACATCAAACCAAAAAGTTTCTGCACAGTGAAAGAAACTATCACAAAACAAAAGACACCCTACAGAATGGGAGAAAATATTCATACACCATGTATCTGACCAGGGGCTGAAAGGCAAGATTTACAAAGAACTCATACAACTCAACAACAACAACAAAAAAAAAAATTTTAAAAATCAGCAGAAGAACCAGAAACATTAATTCAAAAGGGTACCTGCACTCCTATGTTTATAGCAGCACTGTTTACAATAGCTAAACTTTGGAAACAACCCAAATGCCCAAAAATAGATGACTGGATCAAGAAGCTGTGGTACATATACACAATGGAATATTACTCAGCATTCAGAAAAGATAAACACATGCAATTTGCAGCAACATGGATGGCGCTGGAAGGGATCATGCTCAGCAAAATAAGCCAGAAAGAAAAAGAAAAATACCGGATGGTCTCACTCATAGCAGGAATCTAGAAAACCTAAATAAGGGACCAGGAAAAAGAATAGCTATAAGAAAAAAAAAATCAAAATCAACAAGCAACTATGAACTAGAGACACACTATGGGGGGTGGGGGGAGGAGAGATAGGGGACAAAATAAGGGGGGTGCAATTGTATGGGGAATATAAAAATAAAATTAAAAAAATTAGCAGAAGAGCTAAATAGGCACTTCTTCAAAGTGGACGTACAAATGCCAACGGGCATATGAGAACATATTCACCATCACTTGCCATCAGGGAAATGTAAGTCAAAACCACACTGAGATACTATCTCTCACCTGTGAGATGGCCCATATCAAAAAGACCAGACAACAAATGTTGGCAACAGTATGGAGAAAAAAGAACTTTCATACATTGTTGGTGGGATTGCAGACTGATGTAGCCCCTATGAAAGATATTATGGAGGTGTCTCAAAATATTAAAAATAGATCTATCATATGATCCAGCAATTCTACTCCTTGGTATCCATCCAAAGAATGCAAAAACACTAATTTGAAGGGATATGTACACTCCTGTATATATATTGCACTATTTACAATACCCAAGCAATGAAAACACCCTAAGTGCCCAAGGACAGATGAGTGGATTAAGATGTGGTACGTATACACAACAGAACACTACTCAGATATAAAAAAGAAAAACTTGCCATTTGCAACAACATGGATGGAACTGCTAAGTGAAATAAGTCAGAAGGAGAAAGACAAATACTGGATGCTATTTGTCTAACATGTAATATGGAGAAGCAAAACAAAGGGTCAGACAGAACCAAACCAATAACAAACCTTAGAAATTAGACTGTAGAACAGAGGCTACCAGAGAATTAGGGTGGGAGGGGTGGTGAGCAAAGTTGGGGAGGGTGCCCAGTGGACTATGGTGGGGATTTTGTGCCTTGGAGGGGGTGTGATGTGGCAACATATTCTGAAGAGTGATCCTGTACCTCTGAATCATTTATAGTGATATAAAGCAGTGTTCACATCAATCAGAAATAAACAAAAGATGCTGCTGTCACATGGTGGCTGTCTTTTCAGAGTGGAATAGTGAGAAGAGGAAGCGAACCATGGCGGTGGGGAGAAACGGAGATCTTAGAAATCACCACAGTTTTCAGTTGAAGGGGGGTGGGTTGTGCTTCCCCAAGGAGTGGAATAAATGTTTTCTGGATTTCTTTTACATATTTGGAAGCTTTTTAATAATTCCTATTGTGGAGGACATGTTTAAATCAGAGAAAATAGAATAATTTCCACAGACCTAATGTAATGAAATAATGTGCAGAGAGAGCCACTTACAATTCGTAGGTATTGCAAGTGTTCTATAATATTTAATAAGTATACTATACTTATTAAATATTATTTACTACTACCAGCTCAATCTGTAACTATTGAAATCTAAAAATTATTGTTATTCATAAAGTTATGATCAAAGATACTCCTGCCCTTCCTAATTTTTTTAAAAGATTTTATTATTTATTTATGCATACAAGAACTGGGGTATAGTCCATAGGTGCAGGCTGTGAGGGGTTTCACCAGAGACAGAGTGGGGAGCAGAACAGGCAGATCTACTGAAATACACTGCTGAGGGGAGCAGCAGGCGAGAGAGGAGAGTCTGCTGGGCCTCATGTGGGTCACCTCCTGGCCGGGGATCGAACTTGAGCTGCGGTAGTTGCGGATTGCTTCACAGTCCTGACCCTAAACCCCTTGTGCCACCAGGGAGGCCCCCTGCCTTTCCTAATTTGTTTTTGTTCGTTCGTTTAAAATTCCTAAGGCCTGAAGTGTTAGTGTTAAATTGTTTTCTAGTGCCTGGGAGTAAAGGGCAGCTGTACTAGAGGGGACTATTTTTCATCCTAAATTCCTTATTCACTATATCTCAGAAAAGCACTATACTTAAAATTCATTAAATATAGATTCTGACTTAGTCACTTAGAAAACCAATTTTAAAATGCAATGAAGATAGAAATCAGTATAGTTTTCAGTTTTCTGTGTTTGGGGAACTCTTAGATTTTTTCTGGGGACTCTCCACTTCACAGGCTTGTGTGCAATAACCTTTGCTCTCTGTCAACTGCCTGTTTGTATCGGGAAA